GGCGGTGCGCGAGGGCGGACGTGGAGCCGGAGTCACACGGTACTGACGTCACGCACGTGGGGGACAGACGTCCTGCTGTCAGGAACAGAGGGTTCACTTGAAGCGTTGCTGGAGCGTGTCCAGGCACAGCTAGAACGGGCCCGTTGGAATCAAGGTGTCCTTGCCCCCAGGGACGAACGTGGACCGGGCTGTTCAATGTCGAGGGCAGGGCTTTCGTTTGGGTGTTGTCGTCACTGTGGCTTTCAGTTTGGGAGCGTGGAAGTGACTGATTTACTATCACATGGTGCCCCTGTGTGGCCCCGACTGCCCCCCTCCAGGAGGGGATTGGGGTTGACGACGGTGCCCCTGTGTGGCCCCGACTGCCCCCCTCCAGGAGGGGATTGGGGTTGACGACGGTGCTCCTGTGTGGCCCCGACTGTCCCCCTCCAGAAGGGGATTGGGGTTGACGATGGTGCCCCTGTGTGGCCCCGACTGCCCTCCCTCCAGGAGGGGATTGGGGTTGACGACGGTGCCTCTGTGTGGCCCCGACTGCCCCCCTCCAGGCGGGGATGTGCGGTTAACCAGACGTGAATGGGGGTTGTGAGTCACGCCCACCTTTCTTCCAGTGCCTAAGTCACTCCTTCCTCGGGGGGCTGGAACGGTGGACCCCCTGCCCTCCCACACCCAGCCACGGTCACGTTCACGGCTAAAGGCTAAGTAGCGTTTTTAAGTTGCTAATGCATGTTGTTGTTGTTTTGTTTATTACACTTATTGAGGCTGCAGTGAACGTTCCCTCCGTACTTAGTTCCACAGGGAGGTGTTTCCCAAACCCTGTTCCCTGGAACACTCATTAGGCAGGCTGCAAATATTCAAATAAGTTTGGAAACTGCTGTATACTCTATGTTTCTCTTGAAGATTGACAACATCTTAGCCTTTTAAAGGCTCTGAGAATTCCTGCAAGGGGAAAAAAAACTTTCCCTGGTAGTTTCAGAATTTGTTGAATCAGGTGACATTTGTTTGCAGTAACATTTATTATTAATTTCTAGTTCTGCTGGAACACCTTGCCTCACGATAAATTCTTACAAGTGGAATTGTTGGGGCAAAGCATATGCATTTTTCTCAGCTCATATGCTGGACCAGGAACAGGGTTGTCCTGACCGAGTTCCACAAAGGGATATTCGGGGTCCTTGCCAGCCTGTGAGGTTGTCCTGCCCCACCTGATTCCATTCAACCCACCACCCACTGGACGTGTGGGATGGAGTGGCAGGGCCCAGGGACTGTGGGAAGTAAAGGGATGTTCCCTGTTTTCTCTATGAAGGAGGATGGGTGGGTAGATGGACGACCCTTCCAGTTGGGAATGTTTCCTTGCTTTTGCAGCTCTGGGCTGGGGTTATCATTCTGTAGGGCCCAGGCCCAGAGCACACAGCACTGGCCAAGTGGTAGAAGTGAGCTGGGACCCTGTAGCAGCCATGAATTGACCCTGGTCCACCCATATGCTCTCCTGCAGTCCTCGTGTGTCCAGGAGCTACCTCTGCAAGATGGCAGCTTGTGGCCAGGGAACAGAGAAGAGCTGACGTGCCCACTGTAATCGTGGCCTACCGCCCTCAAATCAGCTGTCTGTGCTCTGACCCACCGGAGTTAGCATCGTTTCTTGTAGTTCTGTATGTTTGCGTCCCACCTCTCCAATGGGACTACGAGCCTGCTGAGGGCCGGACAGCACTGTGCACAAGGCAGAGTTCATGGCCGGGGCTGCTAGGCCCACGGATGCGTCGTGGGTGGTGCCCAGGAACGCTGCAGCACTGCCTTGTTGTGTGTTAGGTCAGCGTGGGCCAAGCAAGTTGGACTGAGGTACCAGCACTGAGTAAGCCCTGCTAAGTGCGCCCAACTGTGAAAACAAAATTTGCACATTCCCTTGGCAGAGCCAAACACTTTTTAAAAAATGTTGTCATTTCTTCTTCTTATTTTGACATCTGT